GGTAGGATGGGGTTGGTAGGATGGTGATGGTAGGATAGCAGGAGGCAGGAGAAGAGGGGAAGTTAGGAGGGGAGGAAAGGAAGGTAGTGCATGTTGTAGGGAGGAAGGAATGCAGGGTTGGAAAGAAGAGTTGGAAAGGAGGAAGGGAGGAAAAGAGGGAAGTAACAGTGAAGAGAACCTGAACAACACAGAGAGAAATAGATTCATATACAAATAAACAGACATGTTGTTTCCTTGATGAACATTATAAGTTATAAGACTGCTGTGTAAATGTTGTGATTGAAGATATTGATTCTATAAATAAATGTAGGTTGAGAGAGAGGCGCAAGTGACAGCTATGATCAAGTGAGGGGTGGAGAGATTAGAAAGTAGGAGAGAATAGTAGGGGAGGCGAGGTAGTAGGATGGTGATGGAGGGGAAGATGAAGGCAGTAGAGAGGGGAGGGTAGGAGGGAGGGAGGAGAGAGAGAGACAGAAGGGTAGGAGGGGGAGGGGAGGGCAGCAGAATCAATGAATCATACATGTATTTGTTCATATTTCACGAAACTTATCAATATTGGTACAAATGATAGTAATTCTTCTGATGATTCTTTAAATTTTCACTTCAAAATGCTGATTATGTTAGGAGGATTTCATTTTCGGGGGCCTGCTGATGGGCTACCCTGCCTATAAATAATGTCCCAACCTCAATTTTTCATCATATCGAATTGTGTGATGCAGGCAAGACCGCCAAGAGCATTTCCCTTGTTCTATCTCTTAGTCTCTGTGTCTATTCCAAAACATCTCTCTCTCTCTCTCTCTCTCTCTCTCTCTTTTTCTCTCTCTTTCTTTTTCCCTCCAACTCTCCCTCTCGCTTTCAGACTGTCAGTCTGTTCATCTTTCTATCTCCATCTCTTCCCAGCTGTTTATACAAGCATCGACTGAGTGCCACTCACTTCAGACTCCTATCCCAATAAAAGAGAATACATTTGGGACCATAAGTCAACCCACTTTTGCAATTCGAAATTGGAAAGTCAACTTATTTCAGCGACTTCGTCTCAGGGTTTGTTGTGACATGTACCCACTCCTCGTGCAATCACGTCAATGCAAGCATTCGTGAAAGAATTGATCAGTTTACCCTTGTTGTCGGGGTGTTTATCTTGGCGTTTAGGCATCTTCAACATCCAAGTGTTTATCTTCACTTTTTCGGCATCTTGTTCTGATGTACATGTAAACCTCAATTTGAGGTGTTGACAGAGGTGCCATGTACATTTGTAGACCGTACGTGTACATGTATTATGTTAGACAGACATATGCAACTAGACACTGTACAGTGACTTGCAGCATTTTGTGTTAAGAAGTACAATCACTTTCTCAACGGTATAAAGAGGTGTGTCAACTCTGTCACCTCTCCTCCCATGAAATTGATACCTGAATAATCGATCTTGCCCCAAATCAGCAATGCTATCGTCACAACCTGAGGTTTGTCTTTGTGCATGTCCACAGCTGCGGTGTGTACTGTGTGATTTGGTTTTTACAGACGTGTATCAATCAGATACGATTATTTACGTCTGGGGACTGACTTTTAACGTCAACATCTGAAAGACGTGACTCAGTTTTGAACCTGCGTCCTGGGCTGAAGTTTGTCTGTAACTTCCATTATTACATGTAGTTGGATTACAGGCGCACGCCACAACGCCCCGTCTGTCGAGTGGTAGTCCAACTTCTACAAATCACACATCCTCACGATCCCTCTTGGGCGCATTGTACCGTCCCCGCAAAGTTGACGCAAATGCACTTCCCCTTCTAATACCTGCAAGGATCTTTGAGGTGAACTCACAACCCCCTGTCGGCTGTGCCCTGTGACTGCCGCGTGATATCTTACAGCTCTCTAAGGCTGTTTACGGTGCCATATGGCTCTGTAGATCACCTCAAGTAGGTACATTTTGTAGCCCATGCGATGAGCCCAAGAAGCCCTTGCAAGTGTGCAGAGAAGTACAAAGACTGCAAATGTCACACTGCATTCATAACATGTAGCAGCACACAGAGATTATTGGACATGTCGAAAGACCTCCTGCTTGCATGTGCTCGGTGTTCTGCAAATATCTAACTATGATTATGAGAACAATCATGGGTTTAGATTAGTTTTTTTTAGATGTTCCCAGGGAGTTTGCTGACCAGCTTTTCAGTGGAATAGCTTTACATGGTCGGAGATGGAGCTGCAACTTTAAAAGACCTTTGTCCTAGACTAGTAATGTTATTTGTATAAATAATAAAGTCATGGTATTCAACAAAATACGACTTTGTGTGTTCACAAAATAACTTCTAGACTATACCCCCTTTAGGGATTGTGTTACTCTAGAAGATGAAAACCTTCAAATGTCAATGTTGTGCTTCACGAATATCAAGGTTGTTTGGTCAGTGTTTATATTGGCAAAGTAAGTGCTGACACTTTCTCATCCCACCTCTCTCTCCCGCTCGCTCTCTCTCTCTATCTCTCTCACTCTCTCTATCTCTCTCTCTGAGAAGATTACAAACATATCAGTGAAAAGGGAGATCTATATATAAGGTGTTTTTTGTACTTGCCTGCAGAAAAATTAACATGTGAATACTCTCTAAGGAGAGCCAGAAAGATATGAACAAAGGTCAAATACCTTGTGTCTTCATATCTACTTGAGATAAAATGTGAGATCAGTCTGAATTCAGAGATTTCAGAGATTTCCTACATGTAACAATTATGAATCCAGAATTTCAATGTAGAATCAAAAATCACTGAATGTAGTTAAAACTGTTTACAGAATAAAACCTCCTCAAACAGGACTTCTGGGTCCCATTTCACAAAACTTGTCATCAGTGACAGATTTTGTTATGAGCTTGGGAAATCCTTGCTTCTGATTGGTTATCATCAGATTTGTCAATTGTCGTTGAGAAAAGGCTTTGTGAAACGGGTCCCTGATTTCACCATCAATACTTCATAAGTGACACCTACATGTAGGCGGCTAGGCAACTTTTGCTTATTTCTCTTGGGCATTTTGACCAGAAGAAATTTACTTTAACTATTTCCCTGATGTCAGGAGATGTTGACAGATTTCTCTTTAGTGTACATGCTATTTTATTTCTTTTCAGTATGAAACAAGCAAAATGTTGCGTTTTCAAGAAGATGAAAGAATGAGAAATAAAGTTAGATAGAGAGAGAGAGAGAGAGAGAGAGAGAGAGAGAGAGAATGAGAGGGAGAGAGAGGGGGAAAAGAGAGAGAGAGAGAGCAGTAGAGTGCATGTGACAACATGTATATTGTCTTTAATACTATCATGTTGTATATGCATTTATATTTTGTTTTCTTCCTTTAATTTGAAAAGAAAAGGGGCAAAATTGTATAAAGTAATACAAGTAATATAATTTATTATCATTCCTGTATTATATTTCAGGTGAGACATGCAGCATGAAGTTTAATTTGTGTCACTTTTGGTTATTATCTTTATTGTTACACTCAATTATCTATGTTACACTATAAAGCTACAGTCCCATATACGTCCCGGACCGCCCCGGATCCAGGCCTCTCGCCAAGAAATTAAAAACGCGTGGCGCGACCCGAGGGAAAATTTGACCCCCCCCCCAAAAAAAAAAAAGTAAAAATTTGATTTTTTTTTTTTTTTTTTTTTTTAAATTTGAATTTATTTTTTACAAGTATTACAAGTAATTTGATGAATTTTTAATACCATACCTGCCAACCCTTACGAATAATTCAGCAATTTCTGTTTTTGGGGGATTTCTAGGACCAGAAAATCCGGAATTTTCTGATTTTTCAAAAAAAAAAAAAAAAAAAAAAAAAAAAAAAAAATTGATTTTTTTTTTTTTTTTTTTTTTTTTTTTTTTAAGAACGCGTGGCGCTAGGTCGGGCCCATCAGGAACGCGTGGCGCGCGCGCCACGCGTTATCTGTGTACGCGAGGGCCATGCCCGGATCATCCCGGACCCCATCCGGGGTGATCCGGGATTCGGTCCGTGTTGACACCGTGTTGGCACCGGGGTGGTCCTGGATGGTCCTGGGCGGTCCGGGAGTCGACCCCGGATGTTTTTGACGGTCAAAAACTGCCGGGGTGGTCCGGGACGGTCCGGGACAATAGTTTGATCCGGGGTGATCCGTGTAGCCACCGTGCTGGGTCCGGGGTCATCCGTAGTGGCGCCGGGGCGGTCCGTGTTGATCCGTGGCAGTCTGGGAGTGAGTTATTGACCGCCCAGGACCATCCAGGACCATCCAGGACCACCCCGGTGCCAACACGGTGTCAACACGGACCGAATCCCAGATCACCCCGGATGGGGTCCGGGATGGTCCGGGACGGTCCGGGACGTATATGGGACTGTAGCTTAAAAGCATCACACTTTTTTTGAACAAAACATCCCGGACCATCCCGGATCACCCCAGACCATGGTCTGGGATGGTCCGGAGTGGTCCGTGCTCGTCCGTGCTGGTCCAGCTTTATATGGGACTGGGGCTTAACCTTGAAATTTGTTATCCAATGCACAAAAATTGAGAATGATCCTCTCTGTTTAGATTGAAATCAATAAACTTTGAATTCGAAGTTGAATTTGGAAACAGGTTCAAAATGTGGAGAACAGCAAGTTTAGCCTCCCCCCCCCCCCCCCAACAAAAAAATAAATAAATAAAAAAATAAAAAAATCAGATTAGGGTAGTAGACATCCCAGTTGACCGACTAGCCACGAGACACTGACAAAGTTGGTTAAACTCTCTGAAGAGTTGTCACCTGTCAGACAGACATGTCACTTACGTGGGCTGTAACTGGAGCTAATTGCACAATTGAATTAGCAATCGTTCATACGTAATGTGGAGGGAAATCTGACATTCAACTCGCATTTTCATGCCATTAATTGATAACATTACAATGACTCTCTCTTGTTCCTTCTCCCCTCCCCAGAAATATATTGATATGATTAAAAGGTGCAAAAGGAGGAATGAATGCCATATTTTGTAAGTTTTCTCTTTTTCGTCTGTTTTTTCTTTCAGGATGGAATGTGTACATTTATTTGCACAAGCAATCTGCGTAGTTAGTGACACAGCCATTGCCAGACCTCTAGGGAAATTCCCTCTTGTTCTCGACCATTTCTCACGCTTTGTAAGCAAGCAACCTCTCAATGCATTAGAGAAGAGATTAAGGTGAGTTACCAGTCTCCTTTTAAACACTTGCATGATTTTATTTTGTGGTGTGATCATGTTTTCATTACCACAGACAAAATTAATATTTATTTTTCAAGCTTGCCTGCATGAAAATAACACTCTTTAATTTGTTTTGCATTGAACTCTATGCAAATTTACAGGGGCTCTCTTCTGATTTTCGTGGGTTTTGGGGGGCATTTCGGGGCTATTTCGCCCCGAGCCCCCGTGTATTTGTTTCACTGTATTACTTTTGCCATTTAATATACAGAAATGTATCTGAACTAATTTACCAGTCTCTTTTGAAACACTTGCATGATTTTATTGTGTCGTGTGATCATGTTTTCCTTACTTTTGCCACTTAATTTACAGAAATGTATCTGAACTAGGTTACTAGTCTCCTTTCAAACACTCGCATGATTGTATTGCGTGGTGTGATCATGTTTTCATTACTTTTGCCACTTAATTTACAGAAATGTATCTGAACTTAGTTACTAGTCTCCTCTGAAACACTTGCATGAAGTTATTTTGTGGTGGGATCATGTTTTCATTACTTTTGCCACTTAATTAAATATGCAGAAATGTATCTGAACTAAGATTTTATGAGACAGCTTTTTAATCAGGGTCCATTTACCATGTACCATTCTCTATTGTGTTAAGAATGTTTTTGAGATTTACCAAACTTCACAATCCTTACATGTAGGTCAATTTGATTTTTAGGTGGATAGAGGCACTTTTTGTGTAAAATGTATTCCGTGTGACAAATTCATTGGGGTGGTGAAACAGTACATTTGAGATATCACGACAGCTTCAATCTGGCGATGGCTTCCAAAGTGCTTTGGAGTTTGTTGCCCCTGCTGGGGGGTGTTTCACAAAAACTAAGATAGACTTTAAGTGGGACTTAACTATGGCAGGCTGTTTATGCCACTGTTTGCTCTCACCATACTGGCATTAGTCTCTCAAGGAATGTACAAATCATGGTCACAAATCTACAAAATTTACATATTTTGAAAATTCATTATTGAAGGTAAAAATATTATCTAAAGATCATGATGGTGAGAGCAATCAATGGCATGAATGGCCCGTCATAGTTAAGTCCAACCTCAAGTCGATTTTCGTCCTTGTGAAACACCTCCTACCTTTAGCAGCCATTATCAGTGCACATGGCATTCCTAGGAATGAAAATACATGAACTGTATTCTATCAGATACTCAGGTTAACAATGCAATAATGATAATAATAATAGTGGGTTCTTGTATAGCGTTCATGTCTGTCAAACTTGACATTCCTGGCGCTCCATAACTATTACCCTGGCTTTAACATGGCTTTCATGATGGCTCTCTAGCATATCAATGAATTCATTCCTACCAGGTACTTGCATGTTTCCAAGGGTTCCAAGATTTTTCTCTTTTTGATATCTAAATTCTTGAATGCCAGAGAGATTTGTTCCACGTTCATGTTTTGGGAGAAGCGAAGTGTTTCAATTATGAGTTTATTGATATGTTTGATTGGAAAAGGATTATCTGTCAGTCTGGGTGCATTTCTTAGAATGTCATAGTCTTAGGAATCAGTCTTGTTGATGGTAAATGTAAAGGTGAAGGTACAGTAGTTACATGTAATTGCACATTTGGTTTTTGATATTAACCGATCAACTGATGTGAAATGATCAAGGTACAGCATATTGTGCTCTCTCTCCTCCCGGCCCCCAAATAGTCATTACTTGAATTTTTAATTTTAATGCAATACATGTATAGAATTTAAAATTATATGTAAGAGTGTTACTATGTTTGATGGGAAATGTAGGTGCCTGAGTGCTTTTCTATGAATGCCACGGTCAAATAAATAGAGTATGCTTTACCTGGAAAACCCACATGTATTCTGCCGATTGGACTATGATGGAAGCAGAAAAGAAAGCTGTGTCTCGTTTCCTTTACAGAAAGGTTTATGGATGAATGTGAAACCAATATTGAATTCTAAAGAAAAGTAAAGAAATGTCTCCCTCCAGTTGCACAAGAGTTGAACATTTGAGTTGAATTTTAATTGAATTTAATTTCTTCTGGAACATACAAATCAAATTACATTTCAGCGATACAGCATATATATTTATAACAAATATAACAAATTATATTCAGTTTAGAAATAAAGAATATATTAATGATAATAAACTCCTAAGAATTATTCAATTAACCAATATGCAGAAGAAGGGCTATCACAGTTTAGTAGTGTTTGCTTGATAGCCTGGGGGGAGGGGGGGGGGGGGCTGGATGATTTTGAAAGATGATGATGATGATGATGAAAATGAAAATATGATGTAAGTATGTCTGACACAAAAACTTATAAAAGCATAAGTTTG